AGTTCTGTGCACTCGACACTCTGCAGACCCAGAGGTTGATCTTGTAGTGAGATACAACCTTCCAGAACTTGCAAACCATTTCGTTGAGGTCGGCTGCTTTCGAACTCCCTCTCACCAGTGCAAACTCAGCTGCTTCGCTGTCCACATAAAGAAAAGCTGATTTGCCTCGGATCCAAGGGGCAAAAGTAAGAATAGTGACCAGGGCTGCCAACATCTCAAGAGGGATGATTTGGGTTTCGCGATGGTTCCAGCTTCGTAGAATGGACTCGGGCGTGAACTCACTAAAGAACCTGCCCTTCTCGTTACTTCTGCTTCCGGGCAGGAGAACGCCAGCAATTCTTTGCGAATGGTCCTCAGCGTCAGAGTAGAGCACCATCGGGGACGACGAACTGTCGTGTAGCTCGATCACTCTCTTTGAAGGAGCTCCACGGATCACGTCTTGCAGGTTACCGATCGCGTCCCTTTCCCTTTGCGAGACAAGTGATTTTCCGTTGGCTATCCATGAGTAGAGTACTCTCGTATAAGCTCTCCACGACCGATCTGGGGACGTCGCGGAGGCGAACGTCAATCGACCACAGAGCTTCCTCATGCTGCCTGGGCTGACGAAAGTTGACTGTGATACCTCGGAGAGGGAATTGCACAGCTGCTTGCGCTTCTCGTCAGTGAGAGACAAGGTCAGAGTGTTGGCAGAGAGCTGGACGTCTAGCCCCAGTAGACGAACATCCGAGGAGGGAGGTGCCTTCTTGGATTCCTTCTCTTTGAATCCTAGGAGCTCATTGAGCACGGTCCAGCATTCGTATGCTGTGGCAGCCGAGGTGGCTGGCTCTATTCCCCAGTAGTCGTCTATGAACGACATGCTCACCGCTCCAAACATCACCCTATGTAGATGGATCAGGCATTGAGAGAGTCTGCAATAGTTCACAACACTCGAGCTGGCTCCAAACGAGAGGGCCAGATGTCGGAATATAGCCGGCTCGCCATCGGGTCCTTTTACGCAGATGAGCTGGAAGGGGGCTTCATTAGGGTCAGTGGGTACTTGTCGGTAAGCTGCCGCATGATCCGACTTGTAAATCGTCATAGGCTCGCCAGGTCGTGCCTTAGACATTTTCCTCCATGCCACCTCCAACGTATGATGAGTCGGGAGAGTGATACGCTGGGTATACTCGGTGGCTGCATTAACCTGACTCCGGCGATAGTCGTCGCATAATCTCGTCTTATCCGGTTGTCTGACCGGAAAGCGCTTAGAGATGACGTGGCGACCGAACCTCTGGAATGCCTCCTCGTGGCTGTATGGACCCTCCATGAGTCCCGACTCTACCTCAGCTAGGGTGGCTGTCCAAATCTCCTCGTCGA